TGTTTGTGGCAAGATCTGTAGATAGTATGCATTTAAAAGTACCCAAAAATTTAAATAGCATGAACTGTAATTGTATTGGTGATAAAAGATGTAGAAAATGTTGTTAGGGGACAAGTAATTTGTTATGTATTTGTCATTTATGTAATGTATGTAGATAAAACATTAAGTTTTGAAATGTTTTGTGTGATACATCTATATTTGATGATGATTTTCTCCAGCTAAATATTTTGAATATCTCCTTTCTTTAACAGGACTTTGATTCTGACCGTGACCGACACAGAGGAGGCATAATGAAATCTGACATGCGAGGAGGTCGTGAATTTGCTCGTGGTGCAGATATTGGACCTCAAGGCATGGCAAACAAATTTGGGAATACATATGGCTTGTCTACAGTATTCCTTGAATCTCTTGGCATCACAGGACCTCTTGTTAACAAAGTTTTTGTTGCTAATGTAAGTTTGGTATTTTGTATTTAATTGTGTGCATTGCATATAATGTCATCAAGTGGTCCAAAATAATGTAATTTGTTTGTATAGTGGCCTGATTTTTAGGTTTCATTATCTGGTCTTAATGAAGTCGATGATTAATATTTTGGTTCTTTAATGAATACAATTTTTTCCTTTACAGCTTGATTACAAAGTTGATGAAAAGATGTTGAAAGATGTTTTTAAAATTGCTGGAAAGGTTGTCTCTGTTGAGATCAGTAAGGACCAAGATAACAAGAGTCGTGGATTTGGTGTTGTGGGTAAGACTTGAGTGTTTTGAACTTTGATTTGTCATGTCTAAAGGCTGGCTGATTATTGCTGAATGTGAATATTATAAATTCTAAACCTTCAGTTGAAGTGGAAACAGATTGTGAAGATTTTTTACAAGTGTGCTTGAGTCATATAAATATATATATTTCAACATTTTCAGAATTTGAACATCCAGTAGAGGCTGTACAAAGTATTTCTATGTTGCACAACCAGACATATTATGACCGCAAGATGAGTGTGCGCATGGACCGTGTCTCTGAAAAGCAGGAATCAACAGCAACGAAACTTCCTCCAGGCCTTAAGGGTCTGGGAATGGGTTTGGGCATTAATGGGTCAGCCCTGACGGATGTTGCCAGTAGGTGCCCATTTGTTTGATGGACAAACCATGAATAGTCAGATCTTTTTACAAAACAGAATATTAAAACCTATCAGTTATGGTATTGTTCTATTAATATCTATATAGAACTAGATATTGATAGTCCATATCATTTTCACTGTGAATATGCATGTGTATGTATTGATTAATGAAACTGATATTAATATATGCAAATAAATGAATATCAGAAAATTTCATTATGCTTCAGTTTTATCAGTTATGATCATCTTAGTACAAATTCTGTGCAAATGATCAAAATTAGGATTGATTAGGTTTAGAATTTTCGAGACAGGTTAGGATATATCCGTCTTTTTTTGGCTTTAATTTGAGAGGTGGATTAGGAATAGGTGCACAATGGTATTATTTTCCTATTAGAATTTTAAGGTGTATTGTGTAGGTTTTTGAGATCCTTGTAGATATTCTATTAACTTTGCAGTTAATAAGTGAGAGTACCAGAAGTGCATATTTGAAGGAAGTGGGTTGGTGAGGTGATGTTACATGCTTCGGTTTATTTGGTGTCAATTTTCAGATTGTTTTTATTCATTATGTATTTTTTTTTATTTATTTTTATTTTTTTTTTACCTTTTTTTTTCCATATCTCTTATCTGTATGACTGAAGGGATATTGAATGTAGAGTGATGAAAAAAAGTAAGAGAGAAAGAAAGTGTATCCATCTAGTTGTTGATTTTGACAGCATCAGATGACACGATGCCTACTTTCTTGTTACAGATAATGTACCCTCCATTAACCCAAGTATCACAGGAGGTAAGGTGGACGTGACAGCTCGACTCTAGGGTCAGCTCACCTCACTTTTGTATTACCACAATTTTTTTCTTTTTCTTTTTTGTAGTAAATGAGTGGTTCTATGTTTTTGGTGATGGATATGGAATATTGTTCTTGTTCATGTTGGTCTTCCAAATGGAAAGTTGTTCATGGCATAACAATGTACAAGAAGAATTTGAATCTGAAGCAGTAGACTGCACCGTGATGCATCTTTTGTAATTAGTGGTCTTTCTTGGTAGGTAGTGCAAGAACATTAAACTGGAATAGGTTAGTTGGTAAGACCAGTTGTTAGTCAAAGGACTGTGGTTATGCCCTCCCTCTTACTTATCCCCTCATACACACCAGAAACTTTCAGTACTTTCTTGTTTCTGGTGAGCTACAATTTCTTAACTGGAATGAATTAAAGCAGGGGGATGGGCAGTGTTTCAGAGTTCATACCAGAAATCCTACTTGTAGGGATAAATCTTATGGAAAGGTGTGGATGCAAGATCTGATACATAAACAAAGTTTCATGAAGACTGACTTTGTTGGAAACAGCAATTTAGAGTATACGTTTATAGCACTTGTTTATATAAAAGTGGTTGGCATGTATATATTATATATACATATATAATTTAAGTTTTCAGTTTATGTATGGACTGTGTAAATGACACAAGTGCCAAGACTATCATATTATTTCTGTAGTGGATGTGGACCAAGATCTCAATCATTTCTGGGTTAGGATGGTTTTAAGATTTTTTTTTTAGTAGTCCTAGGTCTAACTTTGTGAAAATATCTGTGGAATTGTTACCATTATTTGATAAGGTTATTCAGGTAGCTTCATATCAATGCACAGTTTTGAGGGTAGGTATGTATCATGACTACAGATGAAGTATATTCATGATAGTGCTTAATTTTCAGAATTTTTGAGAGCTGTAGGTATGTGTATTATAATTTCCTTCTTGACAACTGAATGTATACAAACTGCTTCCTCTTTCTCTTCCAGCTTTACCAAATGCTGTTGCCCCAGGGGTGACAGGCATGGCCAATGTGGGTGCCATGGCATCAAACATGGGAAACATGGGTGGAGGTGGTGGTGGTGGCCAGAACATGGGTGGGATGGGGATGATGGGCATGGGAGGAGGAGGAATGGGTGGTGGCATGGACAACATGAACAGTGGAATGGGAGGGAACATGGGTGGAGGTGGAATGGGCGGAAATATGGGGGGAGGCAACATGGGAGGTAACATGGGAGGCGGTGGTATGGGTGGTGGAATGGGAAATGGGATGATGGGCAATATGGGGATGGGAACTGGCATGGGAAACATGGGTTCGGGCATGAATTCTTCAAACATGGGCTCAGGCCTGGGAGGTGGTCTCGGGAGTAGCCTGGGTGGTGGGAGTGGGTTCATGAACTCCAACATGAACCGAGGAGCCATTGGGGCCAGCTCAGTAGGGAGTGGCTCAGGCAGTGGGTATGGTTCCTATGGATCAACCGGACTGTCCCGAGACTATAACCATTCCAGCAGCAGCAGCAACAACTACACCAGGAATGTCATTCAGCTGAGCAATGTGAGTGGAGATTAGAATCTTTTCTGATATTATCTACTTAACATGTATTTTGTTATATTAGCTTTGAAAGATATTTCAGAAGTATAATCAGAAGTATAATATCTCTACAGTTACCCATGGATTATACCTGGCAAGCTCTGCGAGATCTTTGCCGTGAGTTTGGAGACATCAGGTTTGCAGAGATTAGATCGAAGGGCACTGGAACTGTGCGCTTCCAGACAGAGGCAGATGCTCGTAGAGCAGTCGGTATCCTTTTAAAACATAAAAATCAAAGACAATATGGTATGGTATAAGGGCTATTGTGCCTCATTGAGAAGGCAAATTAGTGCATGGTATAAAAGGTTGGTATTTTCAGGAAATGTATGTTTTGTGAATAATTTCCAGAATTAACTCGAGAGTTAACTAAATAACTACAATTAGGTTTGCTCACTTCCCCTCCTCAGCTGGTCCTACCACAAAGGATAGTAATTTCATCCCCTTTCCTACTTGATAATCCCTTTTCCAAACACTATTCACCCATTACACATGCTGTCATCATCTATTTGCCTCTTTTGTATGAAAGGAACTTGGCATGTATGTATGTATGTATGTATGTATGTATGTATGTATGTATGTATGTATGTTTTATATATATATATATATATATATTATATATTATATATATATATATATATATATATATATTATATATATATATATATATGTATATATATAATATATATGTTATATATATATATATATATTATATATATATATATATATATATATATATATATATATATTATAATGTTAAAGCCTTGATAATTTAGTACTGATTATTGGAAAATCATGTATGCCACTGCCATACTGCATAGAGTGGGGGTAGATATATGTTCCTTTGTGTCTAATTTTTTTTCTCGAGCAGCTGACTGCATGTGCCCTTGGTGCATGGCTTGGTTTAGGACTGGAAAAACCTGTCACTATTGGGTTGAATGATCTCCATCACATGGAATAGGTTGCAAATATACAGTTTAAAGAAATCTAAATTTAAATTTCTTTCAAAAATATCAATTCTTTCAGTTTTTTTGGAATTTAGATTGACTAGGTCTACATTGTACAGCTAAGAATTTTTTTCACCCTGTGTATATTCCTTAATCTCCTATTCAGAAATGCTTGATCGCCAACGTCTGGATGGAAGAATCCTGGATGTTTGCCAACTTTAATGCTAGTCAGAGGGGAGATCACCGGGGACTGTGTTGGGAAAGGGTCGCGACTCCACTTGGGAGTTGCACTACCTTGCCACACGTCGAAAGGGATGAGAGGGGCGTGTTTTATACGAAGAAAGACAACTGACAAGCTGCAACCCAAGGTAATGGCTGCTTACTTGGGGGCTAGTGTCATCTCAGACCAGTAGCCCATCTGTTTCTGGAGTTGACGTTCGTGAAGGATTGGCTGTCGTGGAGGATTGAATTATGCCTAGCTCGGACTATTCACAAGCTTTTGGTTTTGAAGAATGAATTGATGCTGTGAAGGATTGATGGAGTTGATGACAAGGATGTTTATGGAATTCTAACCAAGTGGGAGTTTTGTATTTCCCCAACAAGTGGCAATATGCATATTTTCCTCTTTTCTTTTTTTTTTTTTCCTTTTATATCTTCTTTTTACCTAGCATCACTGTTCCCAAGATGTGGAGGTGGTTGCGTCTGTGCTGGATCTTTTGATAGTTACTTCATGTATTGGTACAGGTATTTAGCTGTCCAAAGATTGAAGAGAAAGATTGTCGTTTAAGATACATGTGTAAGTCAGTAAATAGATCAAATAACTGTTCTTGCTGTCATTTCTGGAAATACATAAGAGAGTTTATTTTATTTTACATTACTTTCTCGTATCTTAAAGTCATAGCTCATATTGTTTGGTCCTTTCATAGGATGTGTTTTGCACTTTTGAAATATATTTTAAGATATAATTGTCGAAAGGAATTTTCTGGTGTCATTGAAAGATAATGGAATTAGTATAAACTGGATCATTGTACCTGTTCATAGATGATGATATGATGTAATTAGCCAATAAATGGGCAGTGGGCCTTCTTTGCTGTTGTTTTTTTCTTGTTGTCCTCTTGACTGATTTTTTACCCCCAGTAATTGCTGTTGTTATGTCTCTTGGTTTGATCTCGTGTCAGCACATAATGTTCAGTGAATAAAATGGTGAGTCCAAACGTAAAGAATAGTCTATACTGTCTACCAAATATGGGTAAGAACTCAGATATGCATTTTATTTACTTATTTTTTTTATATATATATTTTCCATTCAGTGCATATAGAAGTAGCAGATATTGTGCTAAAGATGTGCATTTTTAGATGGGAGAAAAATGGTGATACCATGCTTATTATTTATACCTTTTATCGGTTGATTTGGGAGGTGAAGTCCTTTGTTGAGTGTCCCTCAAGTCACTGGTGTGGCTTTTAGTGATGATAATCCTTGTTTGGGAATTATCTAAACACCTTCCTTCTTCTCTTGTAGCTTCAGCTGAGGATGTGTTTGGTTATGACTTTTCAGTTACTTTTCCTTGAAATGGTTCCAGTATTAAGACAAGCACTTTGATTTTACAATGTTTGCCCTCTCTGTAATGTTCATGGGAAGATATATTTTTTATAAATTTAAACAAAACTAAAAAAATTGTTTGCTTTGACAAAGTGCTTGCGCTAATACGCAACAAGCCTTAGCATTTCGTCTTTTAATTTAGATATATCATGCTTAGTTACTCTATAATTAAGTAACCAAACACATTCTTGTATGATAGGTTATTTCAGGAATTTTGCAGAACAGAATATTGCAGATCTTATGATTCCAAGAAGGATGTATTTTTTTGTTTTGAGGCACTGGTCATTTGTGAAGAGATATTAGTATTGTTGAAATACTGGCGGAGTCAATAATCACACAATGTTGTGGGGACGATCAGTTTTTCTGAAGGTTGACTTGATAGTTGTAAATAACATGATGCACACTACATTTACACTGGTTATTTTGGGAAGTGTATTATTAGTACCTAGCCTCTGAGCTGTAATCAATGATTTTATTACTTTTTTTTTCCAATATATCCATCTTTCCCTATATGAACTTTAGATAATGAAAATGAAAAGCTTCAAATCATCATAAATGAATTACTCAATATTGAGGTATTTAACTGTTTGCAGGTGGTAGAGTATTGTAATATAGATTTTTTATGGTGTTAGTGGTATTATCCAAAAAGACCGTGTAACAGGTGTTAAATATGTTAAATATCCCCTTGAGTAATATTTGGTGAGAAGCAGTAAGAGACAAATGCTATGGGAAAGGTTTTTTCTTCATTCTGTGAATACATCTTTGGCCAAAATGTGAGAAGACTGGTGCAAATGTTGAGATTTTCCATGCATGTTGATAACTAGACTGTTGCTGTGGTCAGAAGGTGAAGCAAGTTTATTGTGAAATGAAAAGGGCCCTGTAGCCTTTCATCGAGATTGCATGGTGGTGTTGCCGCTGTGTGTTGAAGGTTGCCGCCACTGTCCTTGAAGGCTCCGCCCGTTCCAGCAAGATTGGTGTCGGGGTTGGTCTCGCCTCGAACAAGTTGGACTGCGACTGGTAAGCCATGCTATGTTTTGTAGCTTTGGTCGTGTCTGTCTGGGGAAAATAGTGGACCCACAAACTGCTGAGTGGATTGGGCACTGATATTTATAGTTCATATATGTATTTTTGTATTTTTTTTATTATTTTCCCCCTTTCTTTCATGGACTTTTCTCTACAATCAAAGTGGGAGAAAATCTAGCCTCTTGAGATTGGTGGTGCTAGCTGGTTTTTGCTGCTCTATCCAGTTGGTGCTATAAGTAATTTAACTGCAGAGCTCCATTAGGTGATTTCTGGCATCTGAAATTTTGCATACAATTTAATCTGATTATGGCAAAGCCTTCTATTTTAGCTTAATTTTCGTTCGATTTTTTTTTATTAAGTGTTTCCCTTTGATTTCAAGAGCATACATTGCTTGAATGTATGAAAATTGGGTGTGGATATTAAAATCAAGATTTTAACCAGTATACATATGGTTCAATTGAACGTAATAGCATAAAAATCTCATTCACATTGCAAAATGATTCTTGACACCCAGAGTGCATGTAAAACTTGCTTTTCTTTGAAGATTATAGTGCAAAGTTACTGCATACAGGAAATTAGATGAACTGAATGGGTTATTGCATGAGATGGTTTACCCAGAATAAAGGAACTCCTTCATTATATTTCTCAGTAAAGATATTAAGTCAAAGAAAATTTTTAAGGTAATTTGTCAGTTTGATGTATCTTTTCCTTAAGAACTTGCAAATACTATTAGCATAGACCTCTCTACAGTTGATCTTAATCTAGAACATAACATTTAGATAAATGTATTCAGATAAAGATTTGATTGAAGCTTTGGACTTTATTGCAAGATGAACAAGATGTTTGTTGGATGTTTTTTCCAGTGTAGTATTACCAAAATGTTTTAATAAATTGCATTTTTTAAAAGTGGAACTTAGTCATTATTTATTTTCTTTAGTGTTTCCCTGTTTCACCATTTGTCTGTAAGGATAATTATTCATGGGTTGCAATTTTATTGAATTGAAATGAAGCTTTATGCATTAATGTATTCTTTAAGGAGGCTCACGTCTGTTTTCTATCTCCTGAGAAAAGGATAATTTTAGTTGCATCATGTGCAAGATTCCTGTATCTGGGAGTTTATTGTAAAGGAATTGTGATCTTTCTGTTTTGCTTTTCATTCATTACAGCCCTTTGTTTTCTTCCCCTCTCTACTATGCTCTGGCATTCTGCGTGTGTGCTGTATGTGTTCACCTATGCCTTACGAAGTCACAGTTGTGTGTGAAAATTACTATGCATTGTTCATTTGATATTGAAGGTTAAACCTTTACTTTAATTGGATTATCATTTCTCAGATATACATAGAAAAGTTTGTTGGGTTGCAGAAGGGAGAGTTATTGAAAAGATAGTTATTATCATGCTGCTTTTGTCAATTTTTGGAGATCATACTGAGAATTTATTATTTATATTATTTTGAGTAAAGATGACAAGATTAGTCAAGGTGAAGAGAAAGTGGTTGTTATTTAGATTATGATAGATTAATAGTTTTTGATTGTTTTATTATTTGAATTTGCTAGAAGCAAAGCTCCTTGGGAAGTTGTTTGAATCTATACTAACATATTTTATTGATTTGGTAAAACAAGGATAACAGCTTTTGTTTTGTCTGATAAACCAAGAACTTTGTCATTCCTAATGAAAATAATTTGGTTATACGCGAACCTCCTTAAGTGATATTATTCGCAAGTGGATGTACTGAATGCCCTGAAGTAGTTGTGGATTTGATTGTATAATGAAAATGTAAAAGTCAGTGATTGAGGGGCCTATTGCTGTGTTTGTAAGGACGGATCTTGTTATGGGAATTATGAAAATGAAGGAGTTAGTTTTGTTATGTTGAGCAAGTACTTTGACAATACATAGTATGAGATAGTAGATTATTCCATGTAGGAGGTAAAAAAAAAAAAAAAAAAAAAAAAAAAAAAGAAACAAGAAGAAAATAAAGTAAAGAATAAATATTGGAATTTTATTGGAATTATAGATCAAAACATTCGATTGTAGCAGCATGGGCTAGAAATAAGTCCATACTGACACATTCAGTTAGTGGATGCTTCCTGGTGGAAAGGTTGTTTTGTACTCCCACACTTGAGTGCGTTTTACGTTGTGCAATATTTGTCCGTGAGAAGCATGTTTTCTGTTAAAATAGACTGTAATTTTGAAACTTATTAACTTTCTTAGTGATATGACTAAAGATTTTTTTTCTTTTGCTTTTGATTGGGTTCTGGTGAGTTAGGCAAGGTGATGGTGATGATAACAAGTTGTTCTGGTTGATATTCAGCTGTGCAATAAAATGGTATTTCTTGTTACCATCATTATTAGCTATCCAGTATAGTCCATAGAAGAAAGAAAGAAAACAATTAGCTGTGCCATACTCTTTTATTTATTGGCATGACTGCAGCTCCAAGTATTAGCATTACTGAAGTGTACCTGAAAGTTGCAGTAGAGTATGAAACTAGTACTCTTGTGTGAACAAAGGGAGAGGTGGGCTGATGAGTAAAATGTTGGTGTATGGTTTTACTCTAGAAGTTTATTACTTTTGAAAGTTGATGTTCAGGTTTGGTTCAAACATATTATTTTTAACGTGAACAGTGGCATTTCTTTTGACTAGATTTTTTCTATTTTTTCCCCTTTTTGGTAATCTACTTTTGACTTTGGGTCATTTATTCACTCAGTGCTTGCTTAGAAATGAGTATTATACATCTTTTTATAATTTTACCCTTTGTATCTTTGCAATATGATCCATGCTCCTCATGGTTATTCATTGATTTGTTAGTGAACTTCCAACAAGTGAAGGTTTGTAATCTTGCACAGCTTTCATCCAGATGTTTTACAAATTCACCAAGCTTTTACAATGTCCAAACACTTATAGATGCTAAATGTGTGATTTTATTTTTGGTGAATG